GCACCCAGCCGTGAGGCTGGAAGGGACCCCGGGAGCAGCCCCCCGCGTCCCAGAGAAGAGCGTGCCAGCAATGGGCAGTGCCGCAGACAAAGGAGATGTCAGCAGAGAGCAGTCAGGACTAACGCCAAAGTTGGAGCCAGCTGGGGCAAACAGGGAAGAATTGCCCGATGAGCGAAGTTGCATCTTTTCTTCAAAGGTCATTGTATCATTTCTGTTTAAGTCATTGTTCATTATATTGCTCCATCGGTTGCATTCAAAACAGCCCCTTTGTGCTTCTGTAGGGTTGTTGGGACCCCTGCTCGTGGCCACGGCCAATATTTGCACAAAGGGCCACTTTCTGTGCTGCAAATCGATATACACTATAAAGCAGCAGTTGAGGAAAGCATTCACACAGAGGCAACGCATCAGTAAAGCTTTCGCGCGGAAGCAAACAACAGCCACCACGTTGGGCATTTCGGAGGATCTGAAGTCATAAACTGAGATGTGAGCTGTAAACCAGGGGGTCACCCACAACTAAAGTGCCACTACTTGTGGGAGAAACTGATACTGAACCTGCTCCCAGTTAAGTCACTGGAAAGCTCCCACACACTGCAATTACTGCTAAACACCATCCCAGATGAGCAGCTAAAATAAAGTTTCCTAAAATATGTATTTTAAATTAACTCAGGAGGGAAAAAAAGGAAAAAAATAAGACCTATTGATAGCTGTGGGAGTAGATGCCACTCCAGATCTCCTGGGGGCACTCAGTGCCCAGTAAGATGAACCCTTTGTGTGTTAAAAAGAATATTGTTTTGATTAGATAATGCAAAATGAGAGCTGCATGATACAGTGGGACAGAAAGAGATCATTATACACTTTGTATCAATCTGATATCAAAGACTTCGCACTAAATATGAATGTACCAGATCTTGAACTATTGACATCAACAGCAGCTAGAAAACTGACTTCACTGAGCATAGGATCAAACCCCATATTTTTAAAAGATAAGCATGTACATAAATCTGTGCTGTGTCAGGGTCATTGCCCCTGGATTTGTCTAATCCAACTGACCAAATCCATCCCTGCTGTGACTCAACACCTCAACAAACTTTTGGTTGATCTTTTACATCTCATAGTTGGAATCATTACACCTTATCACACAATCCTCTTCCTTAAACTGTAAGCTCCCTATAAGCATGGCATCATAAAGTGTCAGAGACACATAAGTAATAAAGAATAATAGTGATCGCGGACAATACCACAGTGTTATATGAGCAAATGCTAAGGTTTGCTTTTAAAACCCCATTGTACTGAAGACACTAACCCCATGTCTTTTAAAACAACTGGGTATGACTGCACAGGTGGCACCACAAAGCTCTGCAATCTGCCACCGCACGAGGAGTAGACGGTAGGGCTGTATGAAGCTCCGGTCCCTGATTTCATTCAGCAGAGATTTGGCCCAATTCAGTCCGATTCGATGGCCGAATCTCCAAATCCGAATAGAATCAGAGAACCCTTTAATCTCTCCAAATCGAATCGGAACCCTCCAAATCGATTCGGAGAGATTCGGAAAGATTTGGAGATTCAGGTATAGACACAGCTTTAAATGTTTTTTCTACATACCTCTAGGTAGCAGGGGCTCATGAATGCTGCAGTGCTGGGATGGATGGAGCATCCCACAGGAGTGTGGGGGGCTCCCCAGCGCGCTCAGCAGCAGACACAGAAGTGGACCAGAAGCACTTCCGGTCCACTTCTGGGTCCACTGGGGAGAGTGCTTGGGGGCCCTCCCTGGCCCCCCATGGCTCAGTGACTGGTGCTTCCTGGGACTGTGGGGGGGCACCCAGGGTCCCCCCGTAGCCAATCACTGAGCCAGGGGGGTGCAGGGGGGCCCCCTGTGCACTCCCCAGCATACCCGGAAGTGGACCAGAAGTACTTCCAGTACACTTCTGGGTTCACTGCTGAGCACGTTGAGCGCCCCCCTGCATTCCTGTGGGATGCTCCATCTGCCCCAACATCGCAGCAATTACAAGCCATGCCTGCTACCTCAAGGTATGTAGAAAAAATTTTTTTAAAGCTGTGTCTATGTCTGCATCGCTGATTCTCCGAATCAGCATCGAATCTTCAGATTCGGATTTGGCCTAATTGAATCGGGGACAGTGATCTGAATCAACTAATCAAATAGTCCCTGATTTGGGCTGAATCCAAATCCAAATCTAATAGGGCCCACTTCGCACACCCCTAGTAGACAGATGATAACACAGAGTATCACATGCAAAATTGTGTATACCCCCACCATTTGTCTAGACACCAGAGGAAGTCTGTCTGTTTTTTTGACAACACTTGTATAATTATCATGCCAATAAAGTATAACTGAATTTTAAGTTACAAAGCTAGAGACATAAAAATTGTATGACATCAGTGTGCCCACCCCCTTCCTGTGCAGATGTGTGAAAGTTGAGATGTATATCAAATATCAAACAAGAAATGCTCTTGGTTTTTGATGAAAAAAAAGTTTCTAAAATATTGGTGAAGTGTACATGCAATAAAGATCTAAGCTGTGTCCAGTCTGAGATAGAGATGTCATCATTGATATAGAATCATAGAAAATTAGGGTTGGAAGGGACCTCAGGAAGTCATCTAGTCCAACCCCCTGCTCAAAGCAGGGTGATCTTCAAATACATCATTCCAGCCAGGACTTTGTCAAGCCGGGCCTTAAAAACCTCCAAAAATGGAAATTCTACCTTCTCTAGGTAACTCATTCCAGTGCTTCACTACTCTCCTAGTGAGAAAGTTTTTCCTAATATCCAACTTAAACTTCCCTTGCTGCAACTTGAGCTCATTGCTTCTTGTTCTGTTATCTGCCACCACAGAGAACAGTCCAGCTCCATCCTCTTTGGAACCCCTTTCAGGTAATGTAGATAAGTTGAGATGACCAAACAAACAAGTTCTATGTTGTCATTATTTTCTCTGGGTAATATTAAGAGTTCTAATCTCAGGGAAGTTAATGGTAACATTTCCATTGTCTTTCATGGAACAAAAAATTGTCTTTTTTCTTCCTGTAATTTTTTTAATACTGTTTAGCAACAGAAAGCTCCAGAAGCTGAGCTGTCATCATGGTAAAATATATATTCCTGTTTGGTTTGCTGATTATTTCAGATTGTTCATCAAGGCAGTCTTTCCAGATTCAGTTCACACAAAAGAATTGTATAGCGGAAAAATGAAAATGTGCATTGTCCCATCTGATCTGCACCAAACACACACAAAGTCAAATCTTGATTTTGCCTTTCAGCACAGATTAAAGTAATGCTGCCAACAGTGATATTAGCATCTGCATCATGAGCATGCATCCTTTTTGGAAGGAAGAGTTACAAACGTGATCTTCAGCTCTGAGAAGCTATCTTTGGTTAGGTGACTGCGCTGGGATTAAGCAGGCCTATGTTAATTTTCTACAATCTGCTTAACTTCCTTCTGCAAGTTACTTAGTACTTTTGTGCCCCAGTTTTCCTATTGGAAAAATGGCCATAATAGTATTTACAATGCGCTCATGGGTCCCTTCCGACCCTAACATCTATGAATCTATGAATCTATGAATCTTGTCTATTTGAATTATGTATTCTTTGGGTCACCAGCTTTTACTGTGGGAGTGGGAAGAGTGGAAAATGTAGGTTTTAGGCATCCGCACTCAGCAGGTTTAAACATCAGAATACAGAATCCTAAAAAATTAGGATTGGAAGGGACTTCAGGAGGTCATCGAGTCCAACCCCTTGCATACATACAAGTCCCAGGCATGCAAGTCCAAGAGTTCAGATGCTCTCCATATCCAGGCTGGCATCCTACATGCAAGTCCCAGACCCAGAATCCTGGGAGTTCAGATGCATCCAGGGGACAATTGCTGTCTGCAGTACTCCTACTCTTTCTACTTACGCCAACTTTACGCTAAAACTGAGGGCCAGTACACTGCAGACCTCTGCACAGTTTAAGATGAGGGCTGTCCCTTTAGTCACTTTTGTATGATTTGTTGTTGACAACATTTAAATGCATACAAACTTCACAAATTTGGAAGGGAGGGCCAGGAGGACACGAAATCTGATCCACTTGCCCTTTTCAACTGCACGCTGTAACCTCAAACCGTATAACCCAAGCCCACAAACAGTGAAAACAGGCATGTGTAGCCCCTCAAGCCTGCATACTAACAAGGATACAGAATCATAAAGAAACAGGCCTGGAAGAGACTTCCAGAGGTCACCTAGTCCAACCCCCTGCCTGAGGCAGGATCATCCCTAACCTAACCATCCCATACAAACCAAAATCCAAATGCTACATAAGAGTACCTTCAGCCCTGACAATACAGACCTAACGCTCTAACCTGCCACAGGTAAAGCAGGGGACCATGGCAGCCGATGTCCTGCTTCTATGAAAGGTTGTCAATATATGCTCAAGAGATCCCAGGTATAGGGCCACAGCCCCCACTACAGCACCCGCTCTTAAGCACCTTTTTCACAAGTTGAACCTGCCTAGCTCCTTCAGCTCCTATATATGGTGAGAGGTATATATAGAGATATCTCTCACAATAAATGTTAGTATATCATCAGAAAATGTGTTACTGCATAGTTTGATTTATACAAATTCAATTTAAAGTAATTAGTCTGAGGGTGCACACACAAATATTTAGAGGTGAAAAATTGACAGGCAAAATTGAAGGCTGTTTGAAAAAATGTCTTAAATCTCTAAAGTGCCTGGGGCAAAAATAATTAGCAACAACAAAAGTGATTAAGCATCTCATGAGCTGCAATCTGCTCGAATAAGGCTTCAGATTTAGTATACGCCATGAATTTTATTTGTAGGTTTGATGGCACAATAAATGTGATTGTAACTTCCAAGAAATGCAGAAGTACCTTGTACAAAGTCTGAGCTTTTTAAAAAAAAAAATCTGT